GGGGGGGGGGGGGGTGGCTTTAACATCAGGTGTTCTCTTTAGTGGTGCATTTTGCCCTCAATGTGCATCTTTTTATTTTCTACAAGTTTAATATACGTTGTGGGCACTAGTTCCCTTTCTATTTTGAATGATGCTTATCTTGAAAATAATTTTTATCCTTTTTTATGATCAACGTTTAATTAGGGAAAAAGGCATGTTTGAGCTATTAGCTTATTACAATTTCCACCTCTATAAGGTGGGAAGGAAGACTAAAAATCCCATAGGCGTTTGCTTTAGGAGTGAAGTTGTGAGGTTGTGACACTGGAGGCGGCTTAAGTGCTCAGTCATGTGACTCAAAATAATTGTGACAAAAAAATTAATTTTAATCATATTTACCTTGACTCTCGTATTGATTTGCACCTGGTTTTTCGTTTCCTCTCATTGGCCTCTCTTCATAATCAAATCGCTTTATTTCTCCTCTTCCAACACACTTGTATTTTAAGCCTAATTTTCGCTTGACGACCACATGGCCACCTTACTGGCTACGGGCTAACTGACCCCATCGTATTATCCCCACAAAAGTATTTACCATTGTTTCTGTCTTGTTCCTGTTTCGTGGTAGCTGCGCTTGTGTTCTTAGAAAAGTGACTATCTCGTTTAGGTTACTTCATTTTATGTTGCAGCTCTAAGCTATAGTTCCAGATCACTCCAGATCCACAATATTGGATCATATTGGAAGATGGAATCTTATTTGCCGTAATGCCATCTTTATAGAGTTTTGTTTGCTTGATTTGATTTTAGTGTTCGAACTCGTCGTCAAACTAGTTCAGTAAGCCTGCCCAAATGTGTTCCCAAAGCCTCAAAGACCGATTCAACCAATCAGCAGTTACAAGATACGCATCCCTCAGGGAGTATTTACTGGCAGGCTTGCATCTTTAAAGTTGGAGATGACGTACGACAGGATATTCTTGCTCTCCAAGTCATCAAGATATTCCAGAATGTCTTCAACCAATACGGTCTTGATTTATTCCTCTATCCATATCATGTAATCGCCACAGGCCCAGGGGTACATCCATTTAATTTCTTTAATTCGTATTTGCTCCGTTTCTCCGCCTATTTTGGGTATTCTTTGTTATTTTTAGTCCGGTGTAATTGAGTGTGTTCCGGATAGTAAATCACGTGATCAAATTGGTCGTCAAACGGATAGTGGAATGTACGATTACTTTCAGAGTATTTTTGGTGATGAGACAACTCCTGCATTTCAACGGGTAAGTCATTCAGAGGTTACTAGGTTTATAGCTATCGATCCGCATCGAACGATCTGATTGCATCGATTACTTGTAATTATTTGCTTACTGCGCACAAAGACCCAAGTAGAACGAGCATAAGCTATATCAAATCGTCCTACACGTTGCCGAGACAGGCGGAATATATTTTGCATATTCCCTCGCCGAAATACTTAAATTCCTGTGTCTTGGATCTACTTTGTCATGCTACCACGCGCAGATACTAAACTGGTTTCCAAAAGCTGGAAACTGAAAAGTCGTGATCAACTTTTGTAGAGCAATCAAAAAGTATCAGTGCATTGAAAGGAAGAGGAGTGGGGGGGGACGTGGAATTTTATTGGAAGTGTGGAGATCAGATTGGAGTAGTTAGGCTTGAACACGCATCAATGAGCACAATTCTCACCCTTCAAGATGGCCAACACTTACCACCTTGTGTCTTCACCCCCCTTTGTATTCTCTCATTTCTAATAGGCTCGAAGGAACTTTGTGACTAGTATGGCAGCCTACAGTGTGGTTTGCTATCTACTTCAAATCAAAGATCGTCACAATGGAAATATCATGTTGGACAAACATGGACATATTATTCATATCGGTACGTTGTCTTGACTCTTGACGCCTTCACTATTGGTCTTTTTTCTTTTTTACATTAATTCATGCTATGGTAAAAATATCTGAAATTCGATACAGTGAAATAGTATAATTGAGGTAGGGGGGGGGGGGGGGGGGGGGTTGGGATTGAGCTGAAGCTGAGATTGAAATTAGAATTCAAAGGCTTTTAAATTCGATTTTTTTAATTATTAGGATTTCTTTTCCAATTGTCTTTTTTATCCCCTAGATTATTGACTAATTTCATGTCCTTAGTGTTCCGTGTTAATTTTTCTTTCCGTTGTCAAGATACCATTGTTCTCTAAACTTGCATTATTTTACCGCGCCATGGTCCGCTATAGTTCATTCACAAGAAAAGCTTTAATATTATTATGTCTTTTTTAAGAGGAAGGGTTCCGTGAACCCCTGTTCCAAAGCCGATTTACTGAGATGAAATTAAACTGCTTTGTGTGTGGTGTAAATAAGATTATTTGAGCTCTCAGAGGAGGTATAGTATACCGGTAGAATAAAATGTATAGCGGTCTATAAGAGCGGTTCTCCCTCTGTCCGTTGTGCAACCATACATATGTGCAAGTTTTATTTAGTAAAATAATAAATTTAATGCAAGGATATTTCTTCTCTAGATTTTGGCTTCATGTTTGAAAGTAGTCCAGGCGGAAATTTGGGTTGGGAGCCGGATATCAAGCTCACCAAGGAGATGTTAATGATAATGGGTGGCACAATAGATAGTTCAGCCTTCCAGTGGTTTGAACAGCTCTCCGTCCGCGCCTTCCTTGCTCTACGTCCCTATCGTGAAGCTATTGTGGCCCTCGTATCATCTATGCTCGATTCGGGTCTGCCTTGTTTCCGTGGACAGACGATAAAACTCCTTCGTCAACGCTTTATGCCCAATCTCTCTGACCGCGACGCTGGCAATTCCTACATTCGACTTGTTCGAGCTTGTGTCGATCATTGGCGTGCCAGGTCTTACGATATGCTCCAGTTCTATCAGAACCAGATCCCCTGTTAGTTTAGATATCCATCCTACCCCCCCCCCCCTCNCCCCCCCCCCCCCCCCTCTTTCCCCATTTCTGTCGTGTTGTGTAAAATTCTTATGCACACCTTACTTTCCTTTATCTGTAATTCTGTGATCAGTTCCCCTCCTTCGTAAAGAAGAAGAAGAAGAAGATGACAGTTCAGCAAAATTAATAAATATATGCATTGTATATTACTTTTTATACCGCTTTTGTTGGCTCTCATGCAGCTGTGCTCGCTACATGTGTTGTGCTTCACTTGACAGCTGGTTCATTGTTTTTAATCTGGTTTTGTGTGTTGATTATTATTTTCGTTTGCAATTTAACATAAGCTCCCTAATCAGGTCTGGGTTTTGGCATTCTCCCCACCCCCACCCCCCCCCCCCCCCACAAATTATCGTTTCGATTTGCTTGTCAAGTGGACCTGAATTCTTTTTTGCTAAAAGCTATTTATGTCCCTACCTTTGCTTGCATGGTGCTAAATTAAGCTCCCTTTTTTGGTCCAATAATAATATTTGCAGTAGTTGAAGATAGAACCCATTTACTGCAATTTTTAATTTAATTTGGGAGGGAGGGTGGACAGATTACTTGCTGATTATCCGCATTATCTGCTACTAAATAACTCCACTCGTTTTGCCTTTGCATATTAAGGCCATCTCTCTCTATTTTATATTCACAGTTAAGTGGCTGATGGCTATCATGGCTCATAGTACAATAATTGGTCCGCTCTCTTTGTCTTCTTGCTATCTTCGTTCTTTTGTTAGCTTCTTGAAATTTACAAGCTTCCACATTGGAATTGGGTTTGGTAGTTTCTCATTAGTTAAAAAAGTTGCACATTTAATTGGTCAAATCGGTACCAATTTCTCGATCTTAAAGCTATCTAATAGCTTGTGCTTGATACACGATGAGCGGACTGTCTAATCTCATCGATCAACTTTGACTTATTAAGCACCTCTCTGCGCATTCACAACGATTCTACTCCTCTACTCGAGATGAGTGCTAAAAAATGCATTTCTAAGTGGTTTTGATTGGTTAAAATTATTCTATTCGAAGTACTAGCTCTTCAGAGGCATGATAGTAAGAATTATAATTCCCAGGCGTTTATTGGGGGGAAAGTGTTTTCCAACGCTTAAGTTGGGTAATAGAATTAATAAGCCTCCTTGGTGAGGAACCTGAATTCTGCCAGTCGGTTTATTAGCCGAATTTTCCCCATTGAGCTTGGCCATGTCTCTTACTTGTGACCTTTGACTTCGCAGACAAGCTCGTTAACCACTAATATAACCTTGGTCTTATTCATTTCGCTCTCTTTTTTAATTTACTATAGATATCGCGAGAAGGTGCCACAATTCTTTAGATATTCATCAGTTACTTGGCCAATTCCAGATAATGAATAGCAGTTTTTCTCTACTTATTTCATTTTATCAAGCATATGGGTTGTATGAGTGTGTGTGTGTGTGTGTGTGTGTGTGGCCCTACATATGGCATTTACGCATGAAAAGAAAATGTGAAACACAGGATTTGTCTGTAGCTATTCTAGAGGCCAGTTTGCTTTTGGTCACTCTGTCTCTTTAAAAATAATTGGATGGCATTTGGTAATTTGTAAATATCCAAAACTAAAACATAATTACCCCTGTTTAGGCTCAGAAGACCAAAATATTTTGTTGAAAGTCATGTGATGTTATGGCGGACTTAATCGACTGCCTGTTCGACATTTTTGACGGTAGTGTCGCAATTCTTTGAAGCTTATTCTGCAAATGCCTGTTGAAAGACCACTTAAAGGTCTATACTTTGTACGTAGATCACATCTTTATTGCAATAGTCCAGCTATAAAGTGCAAATTACGACTTTTAGTTGTTGAAAAGCAGCTGAAATTGGTCAGCAGTTAGCCCAATTAATGAGGTGAGGTGACCGAATGAAGTCGTAATATGACAGTAATCTCTTCATTTAATGGTATTATTTGGGTTGTACAATGTTCACTTTTCACCCTTCAAATTTCATGATTCGCTACCCAGATTGCATTCCCCACGGGGTTCAGGGCTTATTATGTTGGTTACTCCTGCAACTCCTGTTATGTCTTTGCTTCCCATATGAAGAAGGTGGAATGATCCCCCGTTATTATTGACCAGCCTACAGGTCATAAAACAGAAGAGCTGAGATGATTATATCAGTGTGCAATGGAATTTGTCCGGGGTGTCTACTGTGTGGTGCACTCAGTTCCTTTGTATTCGCCATATTGGTTCCTGCATCACACATTACTTGCCATACTTGCTTAATTACTGATATTCTGGAATGAACGCTCCGAATTTGAAAGCAAATATAATTTGTCCCTTTATAAATACTATTTGTAACAGCTGAATTTTGCTCCTTGTCGAGCTTCTACTTGTTATGTACGGTTGTGACAAATTCTTGAATTTATTTTTTTAGAGTATGTTAAGGATATCGGATCAAGATTGCCTTCGTGGGGTGGACAAAGATAAGGAGTCCGTCTGCACTTTCAAGGGTGTATGCGAGTACTGGCACTATGGAGCACAGAACACCGATGACAGGGTAATAATTACAAGAATGGGCTAATTAAATAAATTCAGTAGAGCGTGCTAAATTTTAATTAACTTAGGGTTGGGGATGTGGCTACCGTACACTGCAAACAATAATCTCCTGGTTCAAAATCAACCTCTCCCTTCAATCTACCTTTCCTGATCTTGAAGATATTCAATCAATTCTTGTGAGTGCAAACATGGTACCGAAGTCTTATCTCAAATCCCAAAATTGGATTGGTTCGGTTGAGGTCGGGGCCGTTATCCATCATCTGACTCATGTAATTACTCCTTTTCTGCTATGAAGTAACCACCCACTTTAGACTGACTACAGGATTGTTCAAGTTCAAAATGGTAAATTCACAGAAGAGCATTTGGATCACATCCGCAAACACTTTGAACTTGAAGGTGCACCAATTATGATGGGCGGTAATCAGGACAATTCTTCCAAGTGCATTCTCGCCTTAAAAGAGAGCCTCGACTCAAAATCAGCCTCCTTGCTAATTCTCGACCCACATTACTATACTGCAAGTGGAGAAAAGGAACCCGATTTGGAATTTCTCTGGAAAGAAGGCTGGTTGAAGTGGTGTAAAACGGATAATTTAGTAGAAACTGATTTTTACAATATGTGCATGCCAACGGCTGCATATAAATAGAATTACATACAGAAATTTAGGGAAGGTCTTTACAGAACTTGTCATACATCTCCCGAAGGATAATATATGATTCCCTATAGCGTTCTTCGTTCTCCCTACAGGCTGCTTTCCATCTAAAAAGAGAAAATTAGAGTATGCTAACGGAGAATTTCAGTGTCAATTACAAAAGGTAGAAAACAGAAGCCTACTTTCGACGAATTTCACGCCAACGGGTAATATGTTGTTCCAAGAGCCCTTCTGGTGACATTTCTTTAGGGGGATTCTGGAGCAAAGGAAGGCAAAGACGTAGGAAAAGATTTATGAAATAATAAAGCACATCAAAAAGTTGGTACCTCAACATTAATAACGAAAGGTTGACCAGATGATGGCATTGGTGGTGGAACACGAACTTGATCATCAGTTAGACCGTCGTTGGGTTTTGGGAGGGCATAATGGCAATCAGGCAATTGGTCAGCGGACTAACAGCAATTAACAATAAAAATGGTGTAAAGAACATACATCTCTGTCGTCATCGTTGTTGGGAATGTCATTCCATGTTGATTTGTCATTCTGACTTAAGTTGCGAATCCAGGCACGAGACATAGAGTAAAGGGAGGCGTTTTCCGGGAATTGTCCAAAGTCAACACTCCTGTCGAAAACCTTGATAACAAAGGATTCTATAAAAATTAATAATAAAATATCACGAGACCGCATACCCTTTGGGATGTCTTCTTCCTCAGATTGTAGACGCCTTTTCCTACTTCTAATGTCAGGGCCACTAACTTTATAGAGCGGTGTTCTATATTTGTCTTTCTCGATACCTTCCTTTTTAATCAATACTTCATCTTTGTACTTTAAGCTCTCCTTTCTGAAAGAGTTAATAAGTATAGCAGAATTAGACATACGCTTTCTCCGGATTTTCCCTGTAAGCACCTAGAATTTGCTCCAGATTGTCTCTTGCAAGGGATACATCGGCCTCTAAAGATAAGTAAAATAAGTTAAGTTCAACATACCATCTGGCTCAGGCCACCACGATCGCTCGTTCCAAGCATTGGCCATTAATCAACAGGACAAGTGTTAAAAAATGTTTAAACAATTTGGAGGCAGTGTAATTAAGATAAACAAGGCGTCCATTATCAATCATACCTTACATAATTAGTTTTATAAAAAGTATAAAATATGTATGAATGAAAAAGCATTAAATATTTCATTATGTTGTTTATTTGACAAAACGTAATTAATTTATTTGCACTCAAAACAATGTTCTTGGGAAATTAGTATTGGTTCATTTAAAGTAGTTTTAAATCAGAATATCAAAATTTACGTTAATAAGAGTTTAAAAATTCTTTCATTCGAAAATGAGAGTGAGAATAATCAAAATTCTTTGCTCTTCTACTCATAGGGCTTCGTTCGATATCCAGCACTTCACCCTTACGTAGGTTTAAAATTTGAGGTTTTTTTAAAGATTATGAAGTTTTCAAAATCATTTTTATTAAAAGAAACCCACCTAACTAGTGACGTTACTTTTTTTTAATATTCTTAAATCTTTACTCATAACGGATGGTAGATTCCTACTTTAAATCAGTTAAAATAAAAGTAATCTTAGTGCTTTTATTTGCTTGTCATCAGCCGTATTTTTATGCGTTTAATAACAAAATTGAGGGATGAAATTCCATCATCGAAAGTTTTTTCTTACTAATAATCGCTTCTAAAAATTAGTTTATCCTTCCATTAGTACAAAACCGTCAACTAGCTAATGGCAATGCAGGAAAAATAAAACAAGGGTGTGAATACCCTCACGACTTTAACAAATTGAACACAGTTTAATAGTTACTTTAAAAATAGTCAACCTCATTCACTGTTCTCAAATATTACTCTGCATTCATTATCAAAAGGCTGCAATACAGATATTTTAAATTTTAATAAATGTAAGCGAAATGGCCTCCCCATGTTTCCCGGAAATGTTAATTTATATAAGTTAAGAATTACCTAAAGTTAAATTATTTTCAATCTGCTTATACTTAAATTTTTTGGTTAACGATTTCCACTTGAAAGTGTGCGATTCGTCATATATTGATGAAATTAAGAACTATCGAACTCACAATCATAGAGTTATTGGTCTTTTTCTTAGCCGGTCATTATCCGCAATGTGAAAAATGTTGCGATAACTCTTGACTGAAATCTCCTCATTGCAGTTATTAGCGATGTTCCAGAACCTGAGTACTTGGATATGCCTGTCCATTCAGCCTTTGTGAAAAAATTATATTCTTATCATATATATTTATATCAAATGGTTGGCGTTTCGACTGTTACCATTAGCCCTTTGGTTGGCTTCAAGGTTCACAAAGGAGAAGGAACGTCAAAATGTACAGATGAGTGTTACAAAGATGTAAAAAGGGACAGACACAAAGGTATAAAAAGGTAAGATGAGTACTGTGAACATGGTCGAAAATGTCATACCGTGGGATCATGGCTGTTTGAAGTCAGAAGTCAACTGTCAGTTAATAGACTTTTGCCGTATGAGTATACGTTGCCCAGAACGCACCACGTGGAGGTAAGTCTATCGCATACCCCATATTCTTATCATATAACTTATCCGTCAATGAACGAATTGTAGGAAAACTGTTAACTACCTTAGTTTACCTCACCGCGCATGTTCTTTACAAGCCAGATTGCACTCGCACAATACTGACTTCTTATATATTCACTCACTAAGTTCTTCGCAAACTTTTCCTTCCCTTTTGAGGTCTTTAGTTCCCAGTTGTTCAGTACACACGATATTCCATTTGCCTCGTTTTTCTGCTAAATTGTTAAAAGGCATCTCAAAGCTAGTAAAATTAAGCACATAAGTTTAACCTAAAGGTTTCTTAAGGTGTCTTTATCGAAGTTAAATCTGCTCCAATACTTACAACCTTATTAATCTTCATATTGCTATTTTGATTTAAATCGTAGTTCTAGTGCCTTGTTTTAGATCATTCGTAATGACAGTCAATAACAATTTGAAATAACGGCACTTTCAATGACTCTAGAACTCAGTCTACTAATCAAAATAACTTAAAATTATTGTTGATATTGGTAACAATTTACGTACTGAAGGTATTTTGCTTATTACAAATTAATCGATTTCAGCGCTTATATTGTATTTTTAATTCTTGAAGTATAGCCTGTAATCCCATATCATATTTTGATGTACATTATAGTGAATAAGTTGATTAGATAGGCTGCAAATTATAATCATACCTTTAGCTCAATTATTTCTTAAGGGAACTATTAAATTATTTTGTAAGTTTCATGATTTGATAGACATAATTAACGAATATAAATACCAAAATGAATGAATTATATGTAACAAATGAATTGAGTATTAATTTGAAAATAAATATTAAACAATTATGATGTCATAATTTAAGGATCAAAGATAACTGCCATTATAAGATTAAATAATATTAATTTATCAACTAATACAACATTAGTCTTTCATTCTTAAATATTTCCTTTTACTTTGACCTGAAATGTTTAATTGAATGAAAAGCTGCAATCCAAATAGAAGTGTTTGTTTCAATGATTTCTCTCAGTAACTTGAGACTGCGTTGGGTGTTTCGGCGTACTTATAATGGCTTCCGTCTACAAAGTTGTCTTCATCAGGCACGGTGAAAGCGTTTATAATCAAGAGAACAGATTCTGCGGATGGCACGATGCAGATCTCTCTCCTAAAGGTGAACAAGAGGCTCTTTCGGCTGGTCAAATGATCAAGGAGAAAGGTCTTTCATTTGACGTTGCCTATACAAGCGTTCTTAAGCGTGCTATTAAAACTTTGAATGCTGTTCTTGAAGTCAATGATCTTCATTGGATCCCTGTTCACAAGTATGTAGTTCCTTAACCTTTAATACATTGATTTCACCCAAATTTGTTTAATGTGTTTTTGTTCTTTCAGGTCTTGGCGTTTGAATGAGCGAATGTACGGTGGATTACAAGGACTAAACAAGTCTGAAACTGCCGCCAAGCATGGTGAAGCTCAGGTTAAAATCTGGCGTCGCGCTTATGATATACCTCCACCAGCTTTGGAAATCTCTGACGATCGTTGGCCAGGCAAGGAAGCAAAATACAAGGTGTGCTTTGCTATTAAATTATTTATTTCGTTTTTATTAAACAGCTTTTCTATCATTTGTCATCTCTTCTAGATGCTCGACAAATCATGCATCCCTGTCACGGAATGCCTGAAAGATACTGTCGAACGTGCTCTGCCTTTCTGGTTTGATGAAGTCGTCCCTTCAATCAAAGTATGTCATGCGATTTAGATTTTTTAATGCAGTTTTGCTAAACGTGGTTTTAACATTTTAGCAATGTAAACGTGTTCTTATTACTGCTCACGGAAATAGTCTTCGTGCTATTATCAAATACTTGGACAATATACCAGATAACGAAATTGTTGAGCTTAACATACCAACTGGTAAGTAGTACAAAATTAGAAACTCATTGCCGTCCTGAGTCTTTATATTTCTTATTTTCGCTTCCCAATTTAATAGGTATTCCATTGGTTTATGAACTGGACAAGGATTTGCGACCAGTAAAGCACTATTACCTTGCTGATGAAGAGACCGTTAAGGCTGCAATCAATAGCGTTGCCAATCAGGGCAAGGCTAAATAAATTACAAACGGGTTAGAGATGGCTTGTTGACAGTTTTTCTCAAAATTGGTCGAATTATGGCACGTATATTTGCTTCAATCTCAATTTGTTGTTTCTCATTAATATCAGTGTTGAACGCATCGAGAATCGACTTCGTTTTTAATTTTGGGTTGGTCAATATTAGACGACTTTTGACATTAATACAGGGGCTTTTTACTTCGGTATCCACAGATTAAATGCTATTAAAATTTTTTTTTGTTATATTGGGGCAGAAAGTGGGGATTTTAGTATGGCCATTCTTCGTTTGGGAGCTCTAAGATACTTGCAACATAATCTGCAGTCTACGTGACTAGGTTGGAGTGCGCGTTTAACGCGGGTGCGTACGTGTCTTGGCTGAGTTTATTCCTGGTGCGACGTGCAACTTGGCTTCGCTAACGCATTGGTTGGTCTATGTGACAGGACCACATTTCGGCACACATATATTATCAGTCAAGATTTGCAGAAGTTTGGTAGAGCTACTGTGGCGATGGTGTTCCCAGCGCAATGTGGGGTAGATTAAGTCGGTCAAGTTTGGGCTAGTTCGGTGCCATCTCGGATAATTTAAATGGAAAGTGTAACATTTTTATCGGATAAAATTAATGAATAGCCTTACTGATTGACACTATCGTTCTGTGAAATGGGAAAATTAACAAATGTTAAAGCTAACAGAGTGGTCAGTTAGAATGAATTAAGATTGCATGCAGCTTCTCCAGCACGTTGGCAGTTATTATTTCCAGCAACATGAAACTAGTTTAAGTTACGTTAATCGCACAGGTGGGTGGCTTCTAATCCACAATTTGTCTTAGAAGGGTAGGCACCATTTTAGCTGTTTTCTCAAAGAGTCCTTCAAACGTAATGCCAAGTTTGACGATGATATTAAGCTGAGGCGTTTTACATTTTTGTCTTTCTTAAGAATTAAAGCAATCTCAAACTGTGCACTTGGAATCCCTGTTGACTTTTGCATTGGTGAAAGAGTGAACATACCACCAGGAATTAAATTACTCGGTCATTTCAGTAACGCTTTGTTCTTTCAAACCAAGAACTTCGCTGGCGTTTTGATCCATTCGACTTTGTATGACATGCAAAGACGACGACTCGAGAGAATTGAACGTATTCATATTTGCAACCAGTTTTCAGAGTTGAGTGTTATCAACTAGCGATATTTCACTCGTACTTTCATTTTAAAATTATATGAAGAAACGATTTCACCTGGTTTATTAAATATTTATTTATTAATTTCAAATGGCAGGCGTTATGATAGCTATCATTACCCATTTAGCCGACTTCGGGCTTCACAGAGGGAAGGTTCATCAAAGTAGCAGAAAGTCGAGGGGTGGGGAAGTGAAGAGCGATTCACAGATGTAAAAGAGGCAGACAGACACAAAGGTAGAGAAAAAGGTAAGGTGAGTACAGTGGAAGGGGTCGAATATGACAACCAGGGGGGTCATGGTGGTTTGAAGTCAGAAGTCAACCGCCGGTTAATAGACTTTTTTGCCGTATGAGTATACGTTGCTCAGGGTGCACCACGTGGAGGTAAGTCTATCGCACACCCCGGTTTATTAAATATAAGAACCACACAACTTTGAAGTTCCCCTTTACTAAACTACCCAAAATCACATACTTCCACACGATGTAATCCTACTAACTGCCAAAATTCACATACTACATGCACATCAAACTAAATGTGCCTCAGATTAAATATTTCACCGGACGTGACATATCGCAGAAAATTTTTATCGGAATGGCGTCGACGATAAACCAAAGAGCAGGCCAAGACTGTATACGGAAGTTTACAATGAAAGTGTACCTTGTATACCTTTCGTACATTACGAGTCAATAGACAGACAAAAGAGAATTTGTAATAGCACTAATTTCTGAGTCAATTCTGTAACTAGCAAAATG